CACCAATAGTCCGCGGGAGTAAAGCCTGTTTTGTGTGTGTTTTGACGCTGGAACGTGCTTTTCAAGTCTGAGATAGGTGGTAGAGCATTCAGTCGATGTGTTCTTGGCCACGGAGTTTTCAGCGCTCATGCACAGCGTGCTGCTTTGCCTAGCGCTTGTGTCGTTATCAGAAAGTGCCTGTGACTGTTTGTCCGGAAAGCTTAATCAGCATCCAGAGGGTGTCCTGAATCAAGCGTATGTTTGAACTCGCCCTGTATCAGTCTATGCCCTTCCTGTCTGAGAGATTGTCAAACGAGTCTCGTGTCACGACGCCAAATGCTCTGCCCGACGTAACAAGATGCTTGGGAACAAATGAAGGGATGCGCACTCATGGGCGGAGTGGTCTGAACGGCGTTTATTACTTACTTCATCTGCAAGTAAGGACTGGAAAATTGAACGTAAAGGTTTCATTACTGGATCACGGTGGAAATGGGTTTGCCGATCAAGTTATGAGACGTGCTTGTCTCGTTGAGCCTTAGAGGCCAGTCTTGAGCCTTGGCAGGCAGACGAGTTAGAACTCCAGGTGCTTCCAAACATGAGGTTGAGTATGATTGGCTGGTCACGGCTAAAAGGCCGGTAATGGTCACTACAGTCTCCCTTGTGTTTTTCGGTACTCCCTGCTCAGCATTGCTCGGTCAGTTTAACCACTCAATCGCCGTCTGCTATTGAAATGATAGTCTTATGGACACCTATGGCTCCTCATATGACGTCTGGGCGTTTTCATGTCAAAGAACGCTGCGTTTAATTATTTACTTATTTGTCTCTTCCTCCTCCTCCTCCTCCTCCGCCATCATCATCATCATCATCATCATCATCATCATCATCATCATCATCATCATCATCATCATCATCATCATCATCATCATCATCATCATCATCATCATCATCATCATCATCATCATCATCATCATCATCATCATCATCATCATCATCATCATCATCATCGCCAACACCATTGTTATTATTATCCTCATGAGTATTTTCCTCTTCTTCCTCGTTGTTGTCGTCTTCCTCTCATCATTTTACTTTTTGTCATCGAACTGCTCACCAACCAGATTGGTATTCTGCTCTGTGAATGATTACCCAATAAAATCAGTCCAATGACTTGCTCATGTGCGCTTGAGGAACTTTTCCAAAAGAAGAGCCTAATGCAGAACTGTCCCCCAAGAGACCGCTTTGATGTTTTGTTACGTTGGAGGCCCCCCCCCCTTTTAGGCAGAACTATAATCAGTCAGTCATCTCGCGAGTCGCAGTCCCCTGGGCGTTCTTTGCGTATGCATAAAAATATGCGAGGGGCAGGAAGAAGTGGGCAAGGGATGCCAATGCATCCAGGTATGTTCCCCAACTGTCCAAATCAAGCCGATTTATGCCGCAGCACTTTTTCCCTCAGCGGAGAAGACCTGAGGCGTGCTGCTTTGCCTGGAGATACTCCTTGTGCGAGCACGAACAACCATTTTTTAATACAGCTGCCAACAACTCACCATCAGTCACGATTGGTTAGGCCTGCTGGAGGAAATCGAGAACAATGCCAGCGTGAGCACTTTTCAGGCAGTGAATATAGGAAATAGGAATACAGCCAAACAAAAGAACGACTAGATAGATTTGCAACCCTCTCACCACCTTGTTGGCCGAGAGCAAGAGGCGGGAGAGAAAGATCTCGTTTTGGATCTAACTTTTTTCGGAATTTTCAACAAACATTTTATTCAATCACCATGACCGAGATAAAAACTATGAAAAGCTGAGAGAAAATATGTACGAAAGTAAAAACTCATTGATTAAGTAAACCACTGGTTGCAGTACAGCTCACCCATAATGTGTCCGAATGGGATTTGAATGTGACCAGTCATTGCTAGGCTGTACTTTCAAATGCTGTATCAAACCTGCAAATCATAAAGATAGGAAAAAGGTTTGAAGCATTTTGTCCCCGGTACGATGCTGAAGTAGGCAAGAAGGGCAGGATTTATTGGTGTCAAAAAATGTCGCGACGGCTCTTCAGCTGCGTCCTGTCGCTTCATAAGAGAGATAACGAGTGAGAAGAATACAACAGATTTGAATTCGTGCAGAAAATGAATGCAGAAACAGCGAGGTCAGGGTTTTGGGCAGAGCTGGCTAATCGAAGTGGGGACCAGATCTGGCCGATGATGCTTTCCTCCCTTGCGTCATTCATATTTTTGTGCTGGCTAATGCTTCATCGCTGCCCCCAATGCTTACTTAGGGTGATACTTTACAGATGGCGTTCCGCCTTAGGTAGAAAGTCGCAACGAAAGTGGCTTGCTAAGCTTAAAATATTATTGGCGAGAGTATAGTTGCTTCTGCAAGAAGGACAAAGGTCACGGAGCAGGCCAGGAGACGGAGGAAGATCTACAGGTGACGGACACTTACAAGCCCTCAGCCGGCTTTGAGTCTGTTGCTACCCCATTTCGAAGCATCAGTTTTCAACAATGAATATACTAGACATAAAAAGAAGACGGACGAAGGAAAAGTGAGGTAGGGACAGAAACGTCAAGAAAACCAAACATCGCAGTCATTTCTCGCTAGCTGTGTAGACCTCAGGATGCGAACATGAAAGTTCACCCAGCAGTTTTGATAAGGCCCACCAATTTATAAGCAGTGCTGACATGCGAGCATCGCCTGTCATGCACCCTCTAACTGGCCCAAATTTTCACGCCACGTGGGAGAGTGGTCGATAGGACAGTTTGTTAATTGCATCTTTTTGTTGGGGAGGGTACCACAGAGGAACAGTATGAAAGAATACAGATCGCTGAAGGGCAGACGGGCTTTGGAAATCCAGGCCGCGATTTCATCCGTAACAGCAATGTTTGTGAAAAACGTGCGCTCATAGTAAGCAGAATTGTTTACAGCAGCGAGCTGGGCAGCTAGTAACGATGATTGGTAATTTCATGCATGCGCCAGCTAGCGTGCGAGGACGCACGCATTGCGGTAGCTTGACGGTATCAAGCCATGAAGTTCAGCGCTACCACGCGGAGGATGAGGTGGTGACTTGCACCCGAGTTTACATTTAATGAAGCGAACTTGTGCTGCATTTGACTCACCCTAACTATCCTACCTAATCTTGATCCAAGTCTGGACGACTGGAGATGGGCTAGAGCCCGGTGACTGAAAAAGCTAAGCAGTCCATCTGCATTTGCCACAGATAAACTGAACCCCAGCCTCACAGGAACCAAACCCCGAAGAAAGAAGGAAATTTGAAGCATTTTGTCCCCGGTACGAAGCTGAAGTAGGCAAGAACGGCAGGAAATGACAAAACTGTCAACGAAGGCCCTAGACTGAAGCCCAAAAACGGCGGTAAAGGCGTGATCTGTCTTAGAAGGCGGTAGATGGGTGGCCCTTCCGTGCTTACGAGGAAGGTTTTGGATCGCACGCAGCAGAGCGCCAAAAAGACCACCCTAGGAGGGAGTCGTTTATGTCTGACTCGCAGTTCCCAGAAGGTCCGAGTCATCCCGTTAATCTTCCCGGCCACGACTGATAGCTCGTTGTGATGGATTTGATGGCGTCAGATTTACTGTAGTTAGGATTGCGCCGACTTGCTGTGAGGATGGAGGCCCCAGTAATGGCGCCAATAGCTCCTCTTCCATCGCCAATGGCCCACTTGACTGTCGGAGTTTATCACACCACCGGTGATAAGTTTTGGGTGTTTTGGTCAACGATGCGTTTGGACCTCCCTCTAAGGTGTTCCGTACGCATGTGGGTGAGGATGTGCGGAGACTCGTGCCGGACAGACAGTTCGATCGGGTGCAGCGACCGTGACCGGTGCACGAATTAGCTTATAGGGAGACAGACATCACTCCGTCACTCACCTTGCTCCGATGGCAAAACAACGTTAAGAAACTCGGAGGCGGGAACAGGGCTAAAGCACCTGTCTAGGCAGGCCATACACGATTCGACTCTGGCAACAAGGGCAGTTCGGGTCTTACACGCCTTAGAGGCCCGATTCTCAGTCCTGAGCCTTGACCAAGTTATCTCGTCATTTGGCATCCGCCCAAGTCAGGACAGCTGCGCTTCGGCATGGTTTTAAAGAGCATTTGACGCTGGGGTGAGGAAACGCTGTGTTGAGTTTCAGCCGGCTCAGCAGTACTCTCTCGAGCATTTTCGATGCCCCAGTGGGCTAGATGTGATTGGTTGCAGATTTCGACTAAAGTAATGTGGTTGTCTAGCGCACGCTACACACAGGAGCAGGACATTGAGCAGCAAGATACATGCCGGTGGTGATGATGACTGAGGCAATCGCGAGCCAGGTCACAACATCTGAAGCAATTTCGCTTTGGCGTCTTGCAATCAAGACAGTGTGAAATCTGCAACGCAGTAGAACTGGCATTAAAGCCATTTCAGTTTGAGGTTAGACCGTGTAGTAGCATATTTGCCTCCAGACTTGGCGATTAAGTATGCATAGTACGCATGTCACCTGTACTCGCATTTTACGAGGTTGTCATGACATCCCATGATTTCTGGGCATTCCTAAAACGGCGCATGCCAAAGGATGGGTTATGGTTTACAATTATTGCAGCTCCTTCGTGTTATCCTATGGTTCTTGGAGTTCCAAAATTCCATTTGAATTCGTTCGCGTTTTCAAACAGAACTGACTTTAAATAGGTGTAATTGTTGATTTAAAATCAATGTGCTTCCTATGGCTCTGAGGCATCTGTATTTACGCATTTGTTGAGTTCGTACACTCGTTAAAGTGGTACTAGAGAGATCATGCAATTAAATTTATTGCTCTCATAGCCGTGATTTTTGAAGTGAGCCTCGTTCATTACCGTTCAGTCCTACTAAGCGGGATTTAATGGCGGGAACAGTTCCTGCCTACGTAATTGATTATTTAAAGGTTTTTGTTTTATCCAGATAAAAGAAACACCGAGATGGAATTGGTATTTAAAATAAACCCACGGAAAAGTGAAATAACAGTAGGGGTTTCTAAAAGAAAAGTTGCAAAGCTTTTCTTTCACACCTATATACCTCAGTTTTGCATTTTACTCCCGCATGCGAATGCAACCTGAACGTTCCTGCGACTAATATGCTTTCGCAGCAGTAAGTTGCTGAAGAGCCGCATTTCAACCCTCGATGAATTTTGCTTTCTACGCCATATTTTCCCAGTTTCTTGCAAATTACTGACCAACTTACGGGCTAGCCGTCTACACCGGTCTTCTGCGGCCTCTGGGTTTTTA